TGGCCCACAAAGATTCAACCCCCTCGTCTATATTGTCTGCATAATCCCCTCTCAGTGTAGGCAAGACATGTGAGTATGATAGAATGTCTATCCTGTGATTATGTTCTATTATATAGTAAAAGAGATTTTGCAGGTGTGATTAAGGTCCCTAACCCGTTGACTCTAGTTAATCAAAAGAGATGAAAATCAGATGATCTCTTGAAAGGGATAAGAAGCTGCAGCAGGCACTCTCATGCTAGTTGAAGAAGTAAGATACCATGCTGGGAAAGGAAGAGGACACATGGCAAGATTCTGGGGAAGGCTTCCAGGAACAGAGAATAGTCCCTGCTAACAAGAAAATGGGGATCTCATCCATATGGCCACAAAGAAATGAATTCTGCCAACAACTAGAGAGCTTGGAAGAGGAGCCCAAGCCTCAGAAGAGATCGGAGTCCTTGCCGACACCTTGATGTCAGCCTGGTGAGACCTTGAGCAGATGGCCTAGCTGTACCCATGCCCAGACTCCTGACCTAAAGACACTACAAGATACTAAATTTCTGTTGCTTTTACAGCAACTAATACAATGGTTTTTTTGAGGCAATCAATAAAAATGGATAAACCTCCAGGCAGAGTGATCAAGAAAAAAGAAAATGCAAATTAAAAATATCAGCAATAAAAGAGAGGTGTAATCACTAAAAAGTCTAGATATTAAAAGGATAGTAAGGGAATAATATGAATAAGTTTATGCCAATAAACTTAACAACTTAGACAAGATGGACAAATTTCTTTAAAAACAAACTATCAGAGCTTACTCAAGAAGAAGAAATAGGTAACTATCAACCACCTTAACCTGATCAACACACACACTATATACATATTATACGGTACAGAAATATAATATAGTATATATAAAATAACATATAAAATATTATATATGAATATAATATTGTATTATATACAAATGCATTATATTATATATAAAATTTAGAAATATGAAATATATATAGCTAAGAAATACATATATGAAATGTTTATAGCTAAAGAAATATTCAGAGAATAATTTGTAGGATTAAATATTTTCATATTAAATATTTATGCATACATATGAATATCTTGGAAATAGCACACATGTCGTATAATATTTATCGTATTTCCTAGATATTCTGTAATTTGATTTAGATTTCCTTTGATTCAAGAGTTGATTAAGAAGGAATTTTTAATTTGTTTAGTTTTATTTTATATAAATCTAATCGGTTAGGTTACTTGGCTTTCTGATTCTGTTATTAATTTCTGGTTTAAATTCATAATAATCAGAGAATGTTGTAGGTACTCTTTTTATTGTTATTATTACATAGGCACATGAAAAGAGGATGTATCTTGTTAAAATACAGGTTTGATATATACTACATATCAATTAGATATAACTATTAAACATGTTAGTCTTTTATATATTTAATTTTTATTTACTTAATTTGTCACAGGCTAAGATAATGTACTTAAATTTTCCTACTATTATTGTATTCCTATTTCTATTTTTATATCTATGCTACATCCCAAATTATTTCATGAATTTTTCCTCCTTTCCAGACTTCTGTTGGGTAGATAAGGTTCACTACATTCCATATTTATCTTCAGCTAATTTGGAAGTTATTGATTTTTCTTTTTATTGATTTACTTAATTTTTAACAAGTGTACTTGATTATAAAAGTTTCTAACAATGCATTATTTTCTACTGCTGAAGAAAAAATTACAACCAAGTTAATGACTTAATGCAACATAGTAGCTCTCCATTATATAGGTCAGACATCTGGCATGGTTCTCTGCTTAGGTTCTCACCCGCCAAATTCAAGATATGGACCAGGCTGGGCTCATGTTCCACGGTCCTAGGGAAGAATCTGCTTCCCAGCTCATTCAGGGTGTTGATCAATTTCAGTTCCTTGGGCTTGGGGTTGTGGAACTGAGGTCCCCATTTCCTTGCTGGCTATCAGTGAGGACTTCCCACTGTTTGTGAGGAACGCTGCCTGCATTCCTACTTATGTGACCCCTACTTCTTTAAGCCAGTCATTAGCCTGACTGACTGAATCTCCCATGTGCTTATAGCCTCTCTGAGTTCTATTACCAACCAGAGAAATCTTTTTGAATATAAGGGCCCATGTGCATACAGCTTATTTTTTTCTTCTTCTCATTTATAACCATAGCAAAAGTTATGTTAAAAATGTGTTCCAGGGCCTGCCGAGTGGCGCAATGGTTAAGAACTGGCTTGGGATGCGAGAGGGCCCCGGTTCGGATCCCACATATGAGGGCCAGTGACACTGCCCTCTACAGCCAAGATGCTGAACAACAGCTCAACCTGGAGCTGGGCTGCTGTGAGTCCCCGGCAACGGTGTAGGCTGCAGCCCCTGTGGCAGTGAGTTGCCATGGGCTACCTACTGTATGTAGCCAGCAGCCAGTGTAAGCGGCCAGCAGCCGCAGTGGGAGGCCGTCCAGAAGCCGGTGAAGAGCGCAATGATGGTGCCAACTTGGGCCAGTGAAGCAACGTCCTCCACAACTAGACTGAAGAACAAAACGACAGCAACTTGTCTGTTCCCCTTCCCCCAATTCCCCAGCACTGTTCCCATCCCCCCCAATTCCCCAATAAAAATCTTTTTAAAAAAATGAGTGTTCCAGATTTTTTTTTCTGCTCAGGTCTTCTCTGGCTGAGTACATCACGTCATCATTCTGTTATGATAAAATAAATTCATACAGAATTTAGTTGCATAAAGGGGCTTTCTAAAATGCTGCATGGCAGTGAGAAATTCCTCATTGAAAAAAATAGCAAAATTCTTGACAAGATGGACTGGCTTTTCAAATACAAATTATGACAGACACATTTTTGAAACTATGTGGGTTAAAAGAGGGAGTGGGTTCTAGGATCTGCATTGAACATTTTTTCCTGCTGAGATTATATTATATCATATATATCTTCATATGTGTTATATGTATATTCAATATATATAGGTAATTAGTACTGTTGTTCATTGTATAAAAATATCTTCCAGCTGTGCCCCCCTATGTAACCTAACAAGTTGTTTTTATAAATTGGATATAGTTGATTATTGGATCAGAGGGTGTGACACAGATCAAGGATTTCCTGAGAGGCCACCAACATCTTTCTGGAATAAGAATACCCAAAGGAACTTTGGTGACACTGTACTACAGATTCCCTCCCCTTAGGAAGTCTAAACACTAAAAGGCGCTGGGCCAAGAGCAATAAAATTGTCGGTTTCTGGCCAACGGACCACTTTTGCAATGCCCAGGGATACGCGGGTCAGACAACATAATTTCTCATAAGGAGCACTAATGTCATTTGTGAGTTATGAGTAAAAGAAGTTCACCTTTCCAAGTCAGTGACTACTGCCTAATTGCTTGAAGGATTTTTCCAGACAATTGGTCTGGAAATCTTTTACTTACTGCCATCTCTGAGCTTTTAAAATCTCTTTCCTCTTACATGTCTTGGAGAACATGAGACAAAGCAACACAGCTTGTAGTTTTGAGAACATTTCCCCACACACAACAATGTCTTACTCGATCCTCATAATAACCTTATAAGTAAGTAAGGCGGGTACTTTTAATCCCCGTTTTTAAAATGTATCAGCCAATCCTCATACAGCCACAATGAAGCAGGACTCCAAAAGTCAAGTCCAGCACCCTTGATGTCACAACCCTGGGACTCTGCATGAATAAACTGGGAAGCAAAGTGGAATTATCACTGAGAACTGCACCTCAGAAAATCAGTTTCTTTCCCATTTCACAGATATTTATCTGAGGCAATTAAATTTATTTCACGGCCACAATACACAAACGTTCTGATCAAAAAGTCATGTTCGTATATCTACAGAGCAGATAACCATATAAAGTGTTTCTCTTACTATTTTCTTTTGTGAAATAGCCTGAAAACAGCTCCCCCTTGCTGTCCTTCGAAGCATATCTTCACCACAGTTAAAAGGCAGAGCTCACGCACACTGTATTTCTGCCTCGCTTGGGCCCTGCGGCCGGGCTCCAGCTGTCCAGAGTAACTAATTAATGGATAATATCTTTCTCCTCCTTCAGGGCGCCTCTTTCTTGCCGGGAGATTGCCTCTTTCTCACCCCCGAGCACAGAAGCCCAGCGGTTTTTCGCTCCGGTGCCATGGGTAGCGCTGCCTGGGTGGCTGATCTTCCGGCAGCTGCTCCCTGTCCACTCTAAGAGATGTCCCCACGATTCAGCAGTAACCAGACGAAGTCCCCATGGACTACTGTGGCTCAACTCCCGCCCATCCTCCCTATGGGAATCAGGCTTTTCCTGGAGAAAACACCAGGAATCTAGTTTAGAGAAAACTAAGTTTCCCCAGTATCCCCACCCCCGACCCCGGGGGAAACTGGAAAAACGGGAGACGTTCCTTTTCCCGGCAGTAGATACACGCACAGTGGCCATGAGGGCTGCAGCGGGACAAGTGAGTGCGTCCTTCCGGGCAGTCAACGTAAGCAGGGTAACAAAGAGCAAGCATCAAAAAAATGACAGGGACAGAGCACTCTTTAGTCACCCAGATGTTACCCTGAAGAGGAAGGTGGGGAGGAGCGAGGCAGGGAGAGATAGAACCCCTGTAGCCAAGTTGCCCTGGGAATAAAATTAGCCTGTCTGGTTGCCCCGGGATGGACAGGCGCGAGGAGGAGGGAGAAACCCCAGTTGAAGGGGGTGGGGGCGTGCGCCAATTTCAGGTGCAAGAGCGCGCCGGCACGGTGGTGGACTTGGGATTTTTAGGTACCGCGTTGACTGTGTCTGTTGAAGTCAAATGCGGGGTTAAAGTGGTTATTGAGGGAGGTTTGAGCAAATGGTGGTAAGCCCAGAAGAGGCACGATGCGTCCAGTTCTCCAAGTTTTTTTGGAAGAGGGCGGGAAAGCGCCAGGATTCCGCCTATTACGCTAAGGAAGCAGCGAGTCTCCCAGCCCCACCTCTGCAGCAGTGATGCAAAGAGGACAAATCGCCGACGTAAGGAGGGGAAAATAAACAACCTCCGGGGGAGGGGGTAAGAAGATCGGGAAAGTAGGCACGGAGCAGTTTCCAACCACTGGGGCGAAAGGGAGCGCCTTCTGGGGAAACAAACGCTGCCCAAATCATTGAGTTCGGAGCCCAATGTTTACAGAGGTTCGGAGCGCGCCTCCCCAGCTTCGCCTGAGTTGAGGAAGGGTAGACAAGGGAAAGGGGGCGACGGCGGGACCGAGAGCAGCTCAGTCGGCGGGTGGGACGCTGCGCCGGGAGACTCCGGCAGGAGGGAAAGTGGACCCCCGCGAGCGGCGAGTGCGGGGAAGGAGAGAAAGCATCGGACAAAAAGCCCACGCCAGCGGAGGCGGTAAGGGAGCGAGACTCCGCGGAGACGGAGAAGGCGCTGCATGGACAGCATGCGTTTTGCCGGAGTCCCCGAAGCGGGGTCCGCGGGTAACTCCAGCCGGTGGTGGCCTCTGGCCACCAGAGGGGCTAATGCTAGCCGGGAAACGGAGGCGCTCGGGGAAGGTGGAGGTCCCCAGAGGGACGTGCGCAATGAGGAGCTGGCCAAACTGGAGATCGCTGTGCTGGCCGTGACTTTCGTGGTGGCCGTGCTGGGTAACAGTAGTGTCTTGCTGGCGCTGCACCGCACGCCTCGCAAGACGTCCCGTATGCACCTTTTCATCCGTCACCTCAGCCTGGCCGACCTGGCCGTCGCTTTTCTCCAGGTGCTGCCGCAGCTGTGCTGGGACATCACCTACCGTTTCCGAGGACCCGACGGGCTGTGCCGTGTGGTGAAGCACCTGCAGGTGTTCGTCATGTTTGTGTCGGCTTACATGCTGGTGGTCATGACCGCCGACCGCTACATCGCCGTGTGCCACCCGCTGAAGACGTTGCAGCAGCCGGCGCGCCGCTCGCGCCTCATGATCGCTGCTGCCTGGGTGCTCAGCTTTGTGCTGAGCACGCCGCAGTATTTCGTCTTCTCCATGGTCGAGGTGAACAACGTCACCAAGGCCTACGACTGCTGGGCCACCTTCATCCAGCCCTGGGGTTCCCGCGCCTACGTAACCTGGATGACCGGCAGCATCTTCGTGGCACCTGTGGTCATCCTGGGCACCTGCTATGGCTTCATCTGCTACCACATCTGGCGCAACGTCCGCGGGAAAACGGCGTCACGCCAAGGCAAGGGCGCCGAGGGGGCCGGGGGCGCTTTTCACAACGGACTTCTGCTCGAGCCCTGTGTCAGCAGCGTGAAGACCATTTCCCGCGCCAAGATCCGCACGGTGAAGATGACTTTCGTGATCGTGACGGCTTACATCGTTTGCTGGGCGCCCTTCTTCATCATCCAGATGTGGTCTGTCTGGGATGAGAAATTCGCCTGGATCGGTAGGTGTCGGGAAAATGGAGGAAGGTGCTGGGATAGGGCCGTGGTGGTGGGTTGTCTTTTCATAATATCCTCTAAGGCAGTAAGTAGGTCTTAAACTTCTGTGCATAAGAATCACACCTTGGGCGAAATTATCAAAAAGGCAAATTCCTGGGGTCCCCACCCCAGACATTTTGATTCGGTAGCTCTGCAATAGGGTCCAGGAAACTCCACTTGTAGTGCGCAATGATCCTAAGACCACAAATTCAGAAGCTGTGCCCTAGAGTTAGCCACACAACTGCAAAACAGAATGACATGTTGCCAATCCCTAATCGCTGTGTTAATACCCTGCTTTCAAGTCCATTGGATTCAGGAATATATTTTTACTGTCATGACTACTGTTTGCTAGTTTATGAAAAGTATCACAATGAATATAACATTTTTTATAGAAATGCCCCAAGGGCAAGGGTAAAACGGACATATTCTTCGGAAGAAAGATTCCTAAGTCAATTCCAATTTGGCATTTAGCTAGTGTTCCATTGCTTATCATGACCTTTTAATGCTTTTCTAACAATTACTTTAACACTTTTTTCCCCCCTGGCATTTCAAAGTAGCATTATTGATATACTCAATTTGTTAGGCTACTTAATCAGTCTTTCAGCAATAACCTGACCACACAGCTATACACCTCATGCCACCCTTGCAGTAGTTTCCCGAGAATGTACTCTACACCTACTAGCTTGTTTGATTTTAATTCCTTCACAAACTAGAAAAACTAACTTCACAAGAATTTACCCCCCAAAAGAATGATTTAATATTGTATCTTGAAAAAAATATTTCCTTTTGGTAAGAAAAAAAAACCTTTCAAATCAAATATATTACAGGAATATTACCAACAACACCTGTAGTTAGGAAATAGGTATCTGGGAAGAATTGTCTTCTTTTGTTATTTGAGATTGGGGTAGGGCGTATATGTGATATACGTTAGGAGTTATATGTGCCAATAAAACATTTGAGAGTGAATTTAATTCAAACGAATGAAAATTCTTGCATGACTATAATATTACCAATAAAAAATACACATAAGTGCTATATTTTTGGCTTACCTACTATTTCCTATCTTGCTTGATCTTAGCAGCCTCTTAATTATTGCCAATCAAATAAAAAATTCAGTCTAATTATTACTTTGTCAGGATTTAGACATGATTACTAAAAACTTCTTCACTCTTGTGTAGGTAGGCATGTTGATGATTTTCATTCTTTTTGAATACAGTCAGCCATAGATCATGATCACCTTTAATAGTATAGCATCTTAGCACAAAGTATGAGTAAATAAATAACCTGCCATTTATTCTGGCATAACAAGAGTGAGAAGACTCAGGCTTATATTTAATAATCAAGGAAAAGTCAGTGCTTGCTGATTATTCTTAACTTTAGAAAAGGCATACTACCAGTGTAATAGTTCTACTGTGAAGTGTTATAATATGTATTTAGTTTGCCAATGCAAATTAACACAAAATATTTCAAAAGCCTGTTGGGGGTTTTCTAATTCAGCTGTTTTTAATAACATAATTTAATTGTTCAAACCACAATCAAAGATGGTTTTCTCATAAAATCAAAACAATTTTCTAATTAACCAAAGAAAAACAACTAAATATTGCATCCTTCAGGGATCTATTTTAACTACTATTCTCTTCTGGATAGCTTTCTTTTTACAAGAATATGTTTAATATTAAAAAATTTAAAACACTAAACATGGCCCATTATGTCATACTTTTGCCTAAGTTATTGGGATGAATACAATTTGATGTATGTGGTTATAAACTCTTGAAATGTCATTGAAATTGCAGTCGTTCTATAAGGGCTGTGTCCATTAGTACATACTACTGTGAGTATAAAGGATACAAAATTAAAAAAATAAATTAGTATTCTTAACCTCTTGAAAGTCTCACTTATTCTGCTTAAATATTTTAACAGTGTTTTAAAATATTTGAATTAATTTCAAGACATCTTGCTTATGAAAGTATTTTATAACCAAGCTATTTCCATATGCCACCTAGTTCCCTGATTGATAAACAAAAGAGTTCATTTTCTATATTAACCCATAACTTTTTCTCTCCTTTCATTAGTCAATAGAAAAATCAGTTTATCTAGTGCTTAGTTACTTCAATTTTGACTATTGAATAATCTCCCCTTATGCTTTTTTATACAGAGTCGGAAAACCCGGCCATCACCATCACTGCATTACTGGCTTCCTTGAATAGTTGCTGCAACCCCTGGATATACATGTTTTTTAGTGGCCACCTTCTGCAAGACTGTGTCCAAAGTTTCCCATGCTGCCAAAACATGAAGCCAACATTCAATAAAGAAGATTCTGACAGTGTGAGCAGAAGACAGACTTCTTACACTAACAACCGAAGCCCGACAAACAGTGTGGGCACTTGGAAGGACTCACCTAAATCTTCCAAGTCCATCAAATTTATTCCTGTTTCAACCTGAGCCCCTCATTCATGCAGCCTGACCTTTGTAACAGACTTTCTGGACTGTTGGCTGAATCCAGCTAGAAATCATGTGAACAAATGAACTATATATATGACATAAGCGTAAATCAATTCATTGGGTACAAGACTGTGTTTCTAGTTGCATTTTCACATTGCTATGACCAAAAGCTATGAATTGTTTTATACAGAATGTTAATAAAAACATACTACACTGAAATTCTCAGGCTGAATTCCCAGAAATATAACAGAAGTTTCTGAAAGAAAAATCATAACCATCCTAGCTTTATATTTTGTTGCTGGTTTCTTTTCTTTTGTTTCCTTTTTTATTCCTGACATAACTAAGGCTTGATTGGTTTAGAAGTCATATAATGTAGGGGCCTTATTTCTGAACAAAGTGAGCTCATCATCAGCCTTGGGTTTGAAAGGAATTAGAATAGACTGCAGAGAAATTGTTTCCATCCAATAACACCAATGTATGCATCAGAAAATGCAGCCTCAAACAGTGGCCTGGAGATGGGATGGTGCTTTGATAGGCATGAGGGCTGGAAGCATATTGAGCAGGACATGCCCTGTTCAGAGGGGAAAGAGGAAAGCTCTATTAGAAGCTATAAATAACCTAAATTTCAAAATAGTAACTTTAGAACTGGTAATTCCCTCTGTTAGGTTCCTCATGTTCTGTTGATTGTGAAAAGCCAATGATGATATTCTGAGATGCTGAAGATTAGAAAAAAAA